CTCCCTCTCAGCATCAGCTGTGGCAATGACCATTACATACATTTTTTCGTTTGGGAAGCTTCTGCTGGACTAAGGAGACTGTGTCAAGAGGAATTGCTCTGGCTGTCTCAGCTCCAATAGGAAAAGAGCCAGGACTTTGTCTGACACAGTCCCCACTATGGTCCTTTGCTGTACACAGCGATACTGAGTCTGGGATCTCTAGTTGAAGAAATGAGGGAAAAGCTAAAGCATCATCATAGAGCCTGTTTACCTCACTTAAAGGAATGGTCTAGGCCTAGTAATTGCGTTGCTTGAACCCGGTAAGTTTTTTCACTACACTTTCTATGGACTATGACATATGTTTTACACTAGTATGACTGAAATTACCACCAGCATTTCCATCGCCAGGTCTTTTGATCTCTTTTCATGAATACACACGCATCCCGGCCCGTTGAGGCGACCTGTGGCTCTCAGCTGCAGCTGTGCGTGAGCAGCCTGGCTTCCTGCCCGCCGAGGTGGGACGGGGGAGTCACGGCTGTCACGAGGGCTGTAACGGTGGATCTGCAGGAAGGGAAAAAAAGAAATAAAGGAAAGGCAAGCTAATATAAACCCAGGGAGCAACGTCTCGCGGTTTGCGAGAGCACCTGGCGCGTTCTCCCCCCCAACCTCCCATTATCGGAGGACAAAGAGCAGCGCTAGGGCGGAGCGGCAGCGCGGGGCTGGGCACGGCGCTCACCGGAGCGCAGCCACACCGGTGCGGGCGGACCTCCGTCCCGTCCCGTCCCCGTCGCTCTGACCCCTTCCCGGCGCCGGCCCCGCGCTGCCCCTCGCGTCACCGCGTCCCGCGGCTGCCCACGTTCTTTACATCCCAACGCAGACCTGACCGCGGCCGCAGCCCCGATGCTCGCTGCCCGCCGCAGCCCCGCTTCGTGACTCCGCGATTCGCTCCGCGCCGTTCCCCGAGGCCTCCCATCCTCTCCTGCCGGGCCCCTCGCCCCCGCGGTAGGTGGGTGCGAGGAGGGCACCTTGGCGGCGGGCGGGGGCGGGGGACGGCGCGGCGGGGCTGCGGCGGCGGCGCGGCTGCCCGCCCCCTCCGTCAGACGGGCGGGGAGCTGCGGCGGGCGGGAGGGAGCGAGGCAGCGGGAACGGCGGGGTGCAGCCGGCCGGGCCGCAGCGGGGATGCGCCGCGGATGCCGACGAGGAGGTGGGTGCCGAGCGGCGGGGCGGGGGCAGACCGCGGCGCGCTGCGGGCATCGGGGCTCGGCGGTGCCGGGCCCGGAGAGAGCCGTCCGAACGGGCGGAGGGGTGGGAGAGAGCCGGGGCGCGGCGGCGGGCCCAGAGCGGGAGCCGGGTTTGGGTGAGGCAGCGGGAGCTGCGGGCGGCACGGACCGGGGCGAAACTGGAGCATCCGGAGCGGCCGCGGTTATGTAATCCGTGAAGCGGTGCCGCGGAGCGACCCGGCCCCGCTCCCCCGTGTGCGGCTCTGTCGTCTCCAGCGCGGTGCGGCTGGAAATGCCCCGGTAAACTCTGCTCCGCCGCGGTGCGTAGCGGGGCCGTATGGCGAAGTTGATGCGCTCTCGGGGTACCTTTGTGCTTGCGGTCTCTGCCTCTCTCAAAAAAAGCAGGAATGGCCTGCTATTCCTAACTCCTAGCAGTGCTGCAAAACCCTTGCGAGCTTTTTGAATCCGCACAGATTCATTATAGCGCTGGTTTAGCAGTCATGCGTTTCCCAGAAGTGCTGATGCTCACAACGACCATCTGACGTGGCTTTGCCATTGGCCCGTCATTTGGTTGTATTTTATAGCTGCTTTGGCGTGTTGCAAGACCACGATGTTGCCGCTCTCCCCGAAGCCCGTCAATGCAGATGCGGTACCAACGGCACGGCCACCAAAAGGGCTCGCTGTGCTCCTCAGGGCCGGGCGGGAGCCCAAGGTCGGGCCGATCTGCAGCACACCTTGTGGGGGGTGACATCGGAGCACACAGTCCCGGCACGGGGCTGAGTGACGAGGTCCCTTAAATAGAGCCTCACAGAGTTGATGAAAGAGCTCTCCAGCGAAGGTGTGAGGAATTAGCTATTTCAGGGGAACAATTAACTATATCAGCTCAATTTTAATGGAACTAGTACATTTAATTGCATTCTTAACAGATTTTCTATTCTCTGGATGATTAGCTTGCAGAACGATACCAGCTTAAAGATTAACATCTCATCAAATATCTGATGGTTTCCATGCAGCATAATTGTGCTTGGTTTATATTAGCTTTCTTCTAATGACCAGCCTTTGTCTATAGTGCTGTGGGTTCTCTAATTAAACCGTTTTCATCTTGGTATGGATGACATGACCTTGACCTTAGCAGCTAAGCAGACATGGTGGTACTGGTGACAAGCTTAACAGGACATTTATTTTTGTGTACACGTAACGCATGGGTCTTTCTTTCACTTTAGTTTAAAAAGTTTACAGAAGAGAAAGACTGCTGTCTCTTTTCTCTCCAGTGAAGATAAATTAAGCAATATGTACAACCTAAATGTTTACTATTTAACATACTCTAAAGAGATTTATATTTGAAGAGCTACCTTCTGTGCTGCTGTAGTTCCTCATGCCAATGTGTTCCATCTCTTGCAGGGCTCCTGTGTGCTCTTTCACAGGGCTGGTGAACTGCAGTGTAGGGCTGTTGTCAGCAGTGTTTTTTGTCACTGGCTCTTTGTGTTCTTTGCCCATTTGTACCCTGTATACGCATGTCAGGGATACTCCAAGTTTCTATTGCTGCTTTTCTCATGTTTGTTTTGCTTTAGTTCCATGCAGGGAAAAGAAAACATTGGTTGCATTTGTAGAAAGGAATGATTCTTTTCAAATGCAGCTGTAGAAGGGCCATACTAAGTGCATGTGTGTTTGTTTGGATGAATTGTTTATCCAGCTGATACCAGTGTAATTTTGCTTGCAGGTGTTAAAGTTACAGTGTGACTGAGGAGCCCCTTTGGACCTTTCTGCAAAGACACCATGGCCATGGGAAGGTAAAGGGTCAGCCCTATCCTCTTACTTTCCTGCATGTTCTGCTGGAGATGTCTCTTCTTCCTTCTGCCCAGGTCTGAGATGAAGTCAGAGGACATTCACTTTTCCACTTCATTTTCCTTCAGTTCTTCTGCATGCATGTGTCTGCCCCTTGGTGCCTCACTTCCTGCAGTATAGTGCCTCTAGGTTTCCTGGTGTGACAGAAGTGATTGTCTTTGTTGTTGTATGCCCAATGCATGCAGTATTTGCATGGGTTTTCTCTATATTGTTGTTGTTTATTTGTTTGTTTTTCTTCATATATTTATTTAGATTTTCAAGAACTTAGGTTTCTGGTATGATGTGGTTTTGTCCCAGGAGAGCTGTATTTCCCAGGGGATGCTGACCACCAGGCCCATCCTCCTGTATCCTCTGGCAAATCTGCTGTCACCACTCCCAGCATGGTAGGGGGAGATAACAGGAGCTGCCAAAGGGATGTGTGTCTGTGTTCATGTGTGTGTGCATACCTTCAGCAGCCTGTCCTAATGATTTAGTTAACCCTTAAGCCATACACACGGTGTAGCAAAACATTGTCCATTTACTCCATCTTTTCTAATGTATTTCTTTTTAAACACAGACCTATTCAAATGCTTCCCAAAGGTTTTTTGGTGTGCTTGATGATAAAAAGAAGGCCTCCCAGTTTTGTTTTGTTTTGTTTTTTCTTTTTTTCTCCCAGTAACTAAATGCATGCAGTTTTTGAAGCTTTTGATGATGTCTGGCATGGGAAAAGGCAGCAGTTTCTGTAGATAATTTTCATGGGAAATGTTACTCTGGGCAATTGCACTTTTTTAAAAGGAATTTCTCCAAGAATTTTCTCCAGGGTTGTGTTTCTTTTTTAAGCTGGGTTTTAATGAGATTTAAAAAATCCCTCCCACTGGAATACTTAAGCAAATGCTTACTTTGGGTTTTGTTCTTTTTATTTTTAACTTTTTGGTTAAATTTGCAACATCAAAGTTCGAGATGTCAGAGGAGGTAGCAGCAGGTATTGTGTTCAAATGAGAGTAAATATACTCAGGCCACGTGAAGGGTGTTGTGTTTTTGGCAGATTCTGAGCATGTTTTTGTGATGGGGAAACTCCAACTGTGAGCCGTAATGGGGAGGAAGTGGTGAAATGAGATGACAGCTGAAGTTAGCTGAATTTGGTTAAAATACTATGAAATATTAAAAATATAAAAATATTGTAGCACACACAATATAAGTGTTGGTGTTACTTATATATGCTTGCAATTAATTTTACTGCCTGCATACCTATGTTTTCCAAGCTGTAAATACAAAACTACAGCTTTCATCTGTTTCCTATATGTCAGAACATATACATGTAGGCAGCAGGAGCTTTCTTTGAACGGCTGTGTGTGTCCTGGTGAATGGTGTTTGTAGCACATCCCTCTTTTAGGGCTGTTCCCTTCTGAAGAGCTTTTCAGTGCTGGCAGCTGATAAGCTGGTCAAAGGGAAGTCAGCTAAAGTGTGGGATATGGAAGATGGGAAAAGAACATGAGGGTCATGATGTACAGGCAGTCAAACTAGTGTTCTTTAAGGAAAATTCTGGGTGGAATATACTAGTTAAAATAGTAAGTTAGGGAAAAAATGAATAATAGAGAAATACTACTGACAACTGCTGAACACTGGAGTTTAAAAAGGAGTGGAAGGAGAGGGGTCTGGAACCACAGAATTGCAGAATGTCCTAAGCGAGAAGGGCCAAAGATCATCCTGGCTCCATACAGAACCACACAAGAGTCAGACCTTGTGTCTAAGAACATTTTCCAAATACTTGTTTAACTCCAGTGGCTTGGTGCTGCGACCACTGCCCGGGAACTGTATTACAGTTGTAATAGCTTAAAGATTAGATGAGCTTTTGATTCTTTGAAATGCTTCAGTATAGCAGAGAGAACAGTGGTGTTTTGAAACAAAGTTAAATAATTTCCTTATTGTTTTTTTTTTTTTTTTTTTCCTGAGTTCCTCAAAGGCAAATAAATTTTAATACTAGTGGAGAGCACTTCTCTTGAAGAAAAAATGGATTCATTGGTGTATGATAACTGCTGAGTCACTGCCTGAAGCATTGATGGAGCACCTGGGGAAATGACCCGGTCAGCCCTGGGAGCACAGGTGAAGGCAATTCAGCTGTGTGACCAGAAGGGGTGGAGCCTGGCTGCACCTCTCTTAGACCTCATTTAAGGGCTGACTGCTGCTAGGGAAAGATATTTGGTTGGTAATCCTTCCCTTCTGGAGTTTTCCTTGCGAGCCTAGATCTTCACAGATGGGTGAGCACCTTGCCTTTTCCTTTGTAATACCATTCCATGTGCTCTTGTCCCTTTGCTGTTAAGCTCCTGTATCACCATTTCACTGCATTGATCTTTCTGATTGTTGTAGTTTACTTGAGCTGTAAAGAAGGTTGCATTAATTTATCTGTGTAAGATATTATGCTCTAAAATGCCATTTCTTCTAATATAAATGCTGTTCTGTTGCCTCAGAGTTTTTCTATATGACTTGCTGATTCCAGCTGAGTTACGGAGTTATGTTTATGCATGATTTAAATATGTTAAAATGATGTATTAGATCCTTTTTGGTAGTACAGTCAGTCACAGTCTTAGGACTGCTTTGCTGTGGAAGTTACTAAACCCAAAGTAAGGGTGTGTGAGAATGATCTTTAAATCATCTTACAGATACCTAGTCTTAGTCTGTAACGTTGTTTTTCAGGTGATGAACTGAAAAGTTTTCATTAAGTGATAAAATAAGCTCAGGCTGCCTTGAAGGAAAGGTCTGATGAAACCTGTGCTATTTTGTGAAGGCTGCTCACCCAGTGAGAGGAGACCATGGCTTCATCTGCCCAGCTGTTGCTGACCTGATTAGTCCTAGATGAGTTAGAAAATGAAGAATCAATAGAACTTTGCTCTGTAGTTGTTGCTAACTTCACACTTTCCATAACACATTTGGGGTGAGAGACCAAAGAGTTGCAGAAACTGGTGATGACTGCTAGTTGGCCTGAGATGTGGACTATGGAGTTTGAGCTCCCTTTGATGGCTCATGCTAACAACTAAATAAGAAAGCAGTAAATAACTAAAACTTGAACAGTGGTTGGGGGGAAAACAGACACAGGACATGTACATACCTTTGGCACTTAGGCAGAACTGGAGGTGGAATGGGAGGCCCAGGCTACCAGTGAGGACACGGACACATCAAGCTGCTGGGAATGAATGTCATGTTTCACTGGGTCCCTGGTGATGGTTTTGGGTGTGTTTCGTAGGATGGACAAGCTAAAACAGTTGTTTGTGGCCACCTATTGCACCCTTCCTGCTTAATAAAGCAAGACTAGATTATGTGCTACTGAGCAGTAATCCCTCCCTTCTGGAGTTTTCCTTGCAAGCCTAGATCTTCAGAGTATTGTTTCTATTCTTGCAGCCTATTCTGCTGTCACAAACCCAGCATGGGTGAGATAATGCTAAAAAGAATTTGGGTTGAGAGAAGTTTCTGTGAACAATCTCACAGGAATGATTTCAAGCTGGTGATTCTGCTTCCAGTTCCACCTCTTGCCTTGCGGCCTCCCTCCTCTGTGTGGTTAGCCCTGTTTGTGCAGTGAGACCACAGGTAGCCTCTTGACCACGCTCTACAATATGAGGATTTTGATGCCTGAAACACTTATGGTGGTCTTCAGGAAAGTAACTTTTAACTCCTTTTTCCCATCCTGTTTTTCAAAATGAAGTTCCTTGTTTTCTGGAAATTGTTGGCACTGTTAGTTGAGAAATTGAGAGGAAGGAAATCAAGATAGACAGTGGCTCATCTTCTCAGTTCTCATCTTTAGGGCTTTGGTCACAAGATAAATGTTTCTTCAATTTACTTTCTCTCGTAGGAAGCCTTTAGGAAAGTAGTGGGGTGCTACTGATTTTCTTTCTTTTTATTTCAAGTACCGGTTAGTTGTTTTGTCATCTGGTAGTAGTTGACCTGGGAAAACTGGAAGGACAAGGTCACTGGTGTAGAACTATAGAAACAGTAACAAATATACCAGATAAAAGGGCTTTCAGCTCAGAAATACGAAGCTGGAATGGTTAGCTTAGTGACAAATTCTGATTCTTTCGGAGTGGTGCAGATCAGATGGGAGGGAAGATGATGGTCAGAGGGAAGGATACCTAGTTAAAAGAAAAAAGGCTGAGAAGAAAACAGCTTGTTGAGATTTGAAACTGGCTGTTGGTGTTAAGTCATCTTGGGGTCACTCTGACTCCAATATGAGCATGACGTGCCCCTCTGGAAAGTAACTATGTCTCCATGTTTCTTGGTTTTAATATGTTTCTGGAGAACAGAGTTGCAGAACGTAGTTGCTGAAAACAGAATAGGAGTGATATAAAATGGAGATGTAGGTTATTCAGAGGGTGAGTTTGGATGTAAATTGTCAGTGTGCCTCCAGTACTAGAATGTTAGTTCTGGAGCCATGCAGATTCTGTATCTGTCATTGTAATGGTCACTGATGCATACAATCTTCTTTTTTTTACCCTGCTTCTGTCTAAATGAAATTCGTCTCTCTGAGTTCACGTACACTTGACAACTGTGTCTGTAACTCCTGGTAACTATGGCCAGGCAATAGCTGCCACCTGGTATCATGATTTTGGGTGACAAAATCGCAAGCAAAAATAACCAACTCTCTGGAGGAAGAAGAAAAATTCTCTAGCTTCTCCCTGACTGTGACCTGTATTTGCAGATACACTGTGGGCGACTAGTTATAAAACATATGATGGTCCACTGAGCAGGCTTCTCTGTCACCTCTATGGCTGGCAGTGTACCTTATGCATGACACCAGTGGTCAGTTTGCTCAATGTGATTCAGAGTGACATGCAATGCAAAGTATTAAAAAAAAAAAAAAAAAAAGTAAGGTGTTTTATTATTTTTAATTTTTATGTTTTAAACTAGCTGCACCTTGCAGTTTGAGGAAGAAAAGTATACCTGCCCTGGTCACCATAAGTATTGCTGTGTGACTGAACTCATAATGGCATGGATGGCTTCTGCCTGTAATTAATACAATGCTGGCTATGTATTTTGCTAAATGTGATTTCTGGATTATTAGAGTAGGCTTCAGATCAGAATATGAGAATTAGAATTAGTCAAGCTGACTAACCCTCAAACCTTTCCATGTAATTCAACATGCTTCGCAATGCCTGTGTGTTTAAGGAATTGAAGTCATTTCAGAATTAATCTAAAATATTACAACAGTTGAAGAGATTTAAAGCACGGTAATCCTAAACTATTTAAGCTGTGACTGATGCCAACTAGGCTTCTGTGCTCTCTAGAAAAGGAGCAGCATCTCACAACAAGGAAGTTTTATTTCTCAATGCCACCCCAGGTGTTCAGTGATAAGCTATATGTTCTGTTTTTCTTTCTTCTGTTTTCCTTCATCTGGCTGTGGAAACCATGTTCTGTGCTAAGAAATGCTTGTGGAGGGCATGGCAAATTTATTTATTTCATACTTTAGCATCTCTGGCAGTGTTCCCATGTTGAAAGCTGATCAAAACAAACCGCTCTTCGGCCGCAGCTATCTGGAGGAATGTGTTGTTCTGTTTTCTTGGCTGGTTCTTGGGTAGTTTGTAGTGAAAAATGTGTCATAGCTGTGTGATATAACACTAGAGAAAAAAAAAAAGTTGGATAAATCTCTTTATAGATAGAAATTAGTTTCTCAGAAATATACAAACTAATTTTGAAACAGAAAAAGCACAGTTTTTCATTTGTCTTCTGGGTTCCCAGCACTCACATGTCCCTCTCCAGCTTCTGCCTTCGGTATTGTTCTGCCTCTGCCCCTAGCAGGTCACTCCTGACCTGTTAATATATCCCTCCCAGAATCTGGGTCCTGAGTTCAAGGACGTGGGCACATTTGTACATCCAGGTTTGGTGATGTTCCAGGCCTCTCCAGCCCAGCTGCCAGCCATGCATTCTGGCTTGGTGCTTGTATGAGCATCCTTGGCCCTCTCAGTAGATCCTCTGTGGAAGCCTGAGAACAGGGAGGGTGGGATTATCAGCTCTGTAACCTGGCTTAAAGCTGGGCATCGTGTGGAGGGCTAGATCAAAATTGCTATACAAAACCTACTCATGATGAGTGCCTGAAGAAAATGAAAACATACCAAACCGTTGAGAAGAGTAGCACCAGTCTCCGTTTCAGTGCTGATTTACGGGTCTTGTTCTGAGTTATCACAGTCCAGTTGACCTGTTCAAATATATGTATCTGTTCCTTTCATACCTACTGATTTATGATAATATGGAAACCTGGCTCACTCTCTAGGGAAAAAGTTACATAAAGGGTAAGAAAAAGACTTTGAAATTCACAGGGTGAACATACCAAGGAAAATCCATTATTTCCTACTGGACTTTATGTCTAATAGCAATGTGAGGTGTCGTTTCTTAATGACAGCGATTGATATGTATTTTCAATTTCTGTTGGTCAGGCTGTTGAGGTGGGTTATACAATTAAGTAATTCCAGAGCAGATTTAAAAGCATTGGTGCAACTTCCAAAAGTTTCTTGTTTAGAAGGACAAGTCTGAATAGAAATAAATATTTGTATCATGAGATACAAAAGGTAATTCAAGCAAGCCTCTCTGAAGTTTTTTCTTTTAAACAATCACAGTATGCTGCAAAAATTGATTTTCAATTTTTCAGACTCCCACAGATTGCAGCACAGAAAATCAATGCTTTTTCAGCTAGTGTCAATTTTTTCCATTAAAGAAAAAATGAGGAAGCGTGAGGCTTCCAGGCTTTTCTGATTTCTGTGCATTTACCAGACAAATAATCTTTATTTATCTTTGCATTACACAAAATATATACTTAGTGCTTGTCATTTTATTCTCTTTGCCAACCATAACTTGTGTTTAAGAGTTAAATACTCAAAATGTGATGGAACTGTGGTGGATTTTTAAAACTCTTGTTCCAGCACCTCAGGCTAGGAGGCTGAATACTTCATTTGAACCGTGATCGAACCAAGTATATGTAGTTTGTATTATAGTATTTGTTCCTTAATGAACTTCTAGATCTCCCCATAAGCATATTTTTGAAAATACCTTTGGTCTGTATTAGAGAACATATTTTTTTTTCTTATCTGAAGCAAATGTGCACTTTGGAATGCATGGAAACTTTCTGTTTCCGTGCATTTATCAAGTTTAGCAGGGAATGGCATGATCAAAGGTAACATGACAAGTTAGAAGTGAAAGATAGCAAATGTCACCATTTGGAGTTTGCTCATTATTTTTGTTTTGCTAATGAGGGCATGTACACATATAAGCAGAGCAC